TCTAGGCTCCTCCACAATCATTAGTTTCAGCAAACCGATCTGACGGAAATAAAGTTGCATTTTCCAGGCCCAATCATCATAGCCCTCACCATTGAACTTCTCGACGGTGAAGTTTTTCAGCACCTCCTTGATCAGCGAGCCCTGGCTTGTTCGTGCTCCCCTTGGCGCAGAAACACCAGAATCTTGGCTGCCGCTACGATCTTGGGCTGACGATTCACCAGCTACCGCCGAGGTGTTGCCCGCCATAGCTACCTATAACGAGGATCACTATAACGCAGCTCTAATACCGGCTTGCTGGTGTAAGGGCCTAATAAACTCAAGCTATTAAGACTTTATCAAACTTAAAACCTCTCCTCGGGGTCACCTCCAAGGGTCCTTGGGTGCCTGGTACAAGACCAGCCCCTATCCTCGGGTCCGAGTTTGTAGAGAAAGGGATCAAGAGGAACTAAGTCAAAACAGCAAGACTACCTTAAACGTCGCGCAGCGTATCGTGCAGACCGTCGATCGGAGCTGAGAATTTCCTATATCGAAGCTCTCTCCAAGAGCTTTAAAATGAACCAAGTTGCCTCGCGAAATGTTCTGCCATTACGAAGTTATGGCTCGGACAGCGTTTGCCTAGTGTTGGAGTGCTAGCATACTAGCGTTGACTCGGGTAGCATTCCGCCGTCGCACCGCGTAGAAACGAAATTTGAGGCAGGGAGGAATTCGCTTGAATCAAATTGACTGTCTTCAGGTACAAACAGAGAAGGAATATATAGTTCTAGCTAGCAAGGACCTTGGGAATGAACCTGGGAACAACCAGGGATCATCCCAAATAATTCCAAGCAACAGAACCAACCTGGCTAGACAAAACAGCCGGTAGTAGGTTGGTAAACAACCTCTGGTTCTGTTTTTCCAACCTGAGAAAACAACAACCAGGTTCAGGTCCTAAAAGCAGAACCTGTTTCGTCTTTGCCCAACCAGCCAAAAGCTGGTTCCGCTGGTTTCCCCTGGCCCCGTAGCATGCAGATACAGACAAACAACATCCAACATTCACCTAAATTGTACCCCTGTAGTGCCTGGCCTGCTACACTATAGTCAACCAAACAAAACAGTACAATTTCAAGTTGGATAGAACTGAATCTGCACAATCAATTCAACCGAACCGCAAAGCTTCCATCTTGGGTTCCTTTGCGAGCTCGTCCTTTCTGCGTGTACTGTTCATAGCGCGTACAATGTTGTGCCGAAGCGCATAATGCGCTAGTACCTGCAAATGCTTCAAGCAGAAATTGCGAAAGCAAACAAACACACGAACATTCCATTCACACCCAAATGCATTCGCACACGTATACTCATACAAACAGACGGCAGGATGTCGTGCAATGTGAATTTGCACCCAACACACTCACCCCCGATGGACGGAGGACAGACAGACTCAGACTCAGCGATAAGACTAGCAGCGTAGTCTAGACGACAGCGAGCAGCGAAGTCAACGAGCTCAGCAACTAAGGCAGACGCAGCAGTGGACTCAAAAGAAGGTTCAGTGACAACAGTAGCCAGGAGACGCGTGACATTAGGACTGGCAGCACGAAGAGAGTCAGACTCAGGGTCAGCAAGAGTAGGAAGAGAGGACTCTGGAGGAGACGGCAACGGGACACGCAAAGGAGCAGTGGAAGGACGCAATGCCATCTGGTGTGTGCCGGGGACCGCAGGAGGACGCGGACGCGGAGCACGACCAGTAGTGGGAGCTGCACGAACAGGCGACGCAGGACGAGACGCAGGCTCATGACGCTCAGCAAGACCTCCAATAGGACCAGTGTAGGGAGAAGGAGCAGGCAGGGGGGAGGCGGGCTGTAACTGTGACCGCAACTGGACACGCTAAGGGAGGAGCTGTACCAGTAGAGGGCGGGAGACCAAGAACCTGCTCAAGGAGCGGAATGAAGTACGGCCTCGGCCGCGCAGCGCCTCCAGAACCAGCAGGGACAGCACCAGTACCCCCAGCGGCAGCACAAGCGCCAGCAGCACCTCCAGCTCCAACAGCGCCAACTCCAGCACCCTCAGAAGCACTAGGGCCAGCAGAACCACCAGCGCCGACACCCCCAGCAGCTCCAGCTCCAGCAGCTCCAGCAGCTCCAAGAGCACCAACTCCAGCAGGACAGTCAGCTCCAGTACCGCCAGCAGCTCCAGCAGTACCTCCAGCAGGACTCCCAGTCCCAGCAGCTCCAGAACCGCCAGGACGAGCACCTGCAGGACCAGCAGCAACAGTAGTACCTTCAGCTCTAGCAGCACGGCGCCAGCGCCGGGCAAACCACTCGCGCAGCTCCAGCGGAGAGAGTTGCTCCCGCCTCGACGAAGCACCGCCAGAGGTCATGCGAGTAGACCCAGCACACCCAGGCTCCGCACCCCCAGGCTCAGCACCCCCAGGCTCCACACCCCTAGGCTCAACACCCCTAGAATCAGCAGCCCCAGGCTCCGCACCCCCAGACCTGGCACCCCCAGACTCAGCACCCCCAGGCTCCGCACCCCCAGACCCGGCACCCGCAGGCTCAGCGCCCCTAGCAGCACCAAAGTCAACAGTTACCTGGACAGGCTCAACTGCGTCTACCTGGGACACACCTGACGGGGCAGGACCCTGAGGGGGGAGGGGGTCTACCAGGGGAGGACCTGGCGCAAGGAAGATTGGCGGCAGGGGGAGGGGCGCAGTGCGGTAGGGGAAAAGATGGTAGTAAGGCACCGACTCGTCAAAGGTGACGTCCTGGGAGGACAGAACATGGCGCGAGGTGGGGTGCTAAAACTGCCAACCAGGCGCGTCAGGGGGAAAGCCAAGGAAGACGCAGGGAACAGCACGAGGGGACAGCTTGTCCGCAGACAAGTCGCGGACAAACGCCCGAGATCCCCAGACCCGAAACGCAGACGCATCGCCAACCTTCCCCTTCCACCGCAAGGTGGGGGAGGTCTCTGGCAAGGAGACCCGGGGCTGAAGGTTGAGCTGATGCGCTGCGTACTGAACCGCAAACGGCCACAGAAAATGGGGAGCAGCCGCATGGATCATGGACGTACGAGCGACGTCCATGACCATGCCAATGCGGCGCTCAGCAATCCCATTTTGCTGTGGAGAGGCCGGAAGCGTGAAGGTCTGGCGGATGCCCTGTGCACGACAGAAGGCTCCCAGACGGGCAGAGGAAAACTCCACGCCTCTGTCAGAGTGCAGACGCAGAACAGGGAAGTCCGAGCCAAAACTCTCTCTGAGCTGGAGACGAGCTGCGCGGATCCAGTCGATCAACACCTCAGTGACGTCACCCTTACTACGCAAGGGGAACACCGTGGTGTAACGCAAGTAGTCGTCAACCACCAACAAGAAGTAACGCTCGTGACCCTGGCCACAGACGCGGGCAGGGCCTCACACGTCCATGTGAAGAGTCTGCAGGGGAGCCTCTGTCGGAGGAAGCTCGGAGGAGTGAGGGGCGGCGCGCTGCCGCCCCTCGACGCAGGGGACGCATGTAGGGGCAGGCCCCGGAGGTAGGGGAAAGAGAGACCGGGGGAGACCAGAGACAAGGACACGTGAGGCCTTGCCTCGGAGACGAGGCAGGGAGGGGTGACCAAGGCGGTGGTGCCAAAGGAGAGTCTGGTGGGACGGGAGACGACACGAGCAGGGCACAGACTCAGGACCAGACCTGGACGCTGCAGCAAACACCTGACTCGACGCAGCTATCTGACCAGACTCAGCAACAGGAGGAGACTCAGTGGTCAGTGTGTACAGGCTCAACCCCGGCTGACGTGTAAACGTGGCCAAAATTTGGCCCATCCGAGCACACGTACAGTGGGTCACCCGCCGACTCGCAGGCGTGAACTGGTCAACCCCCTGATCCTGTAGATCAGCTCCACTCACCATGTTCGTAGAGAACGAGGGGAGGTAAAGACCTGACAGGGTGCCAAAGGGGGCTGCCGGACACGGTAAGACAGTGGAGAAGCTAGCAAGGACAGGACCCCCAGAGGGGTCCGCCAGGGAGACCGCAACCGGCCGACTAAGTGGCGTCAGCGTGGTGCGGTCTCGAAAGAAGGAGCGGGAAGCAGCCGAGTCAATTGTGAATGTGTGCAAGGCATGAGCCGACGTGGTACCTGAGAGAGCAGACTCACCAGCACCTGGGGCAGCAGACGCACTAGCACCTGGAGCAGCCTCACCAGCACCTAGAGCAGCAGCCTCAATGCTCGGGTTAGGCGGAACGCACAGGTAACAGTCACCCTCATCACTAGTAGACACAGCATACATGGCAGAAAGAATAGCATCAAAGTCAAGATCAAAGATAGCAACCCCCACCCTCGACAGCTCTCCCCAGCGAGGGATCTTAGTGGCGTCAGGGAACTGATGACGCCAAGCGTCCATCAGGCGGCCGAAGCAGCGCTGGGTGGAGTGCGTGTCCCCGCACTGCTCACCAGCGCGGTCGCCGGTACGGGGGACGTAGGTGCAGGGACCAGTACCAACACCCCGCTGACACCCAGCGTACCACTCACGAAGCTGCTGAGGGGACAGGGTCTCACGACTGCGCGGCTGCTGCTGGCGCGGACCACCACCGGAGCCACTCCTCTGCGCAGAGCCGCGACCAGCTTCACCGTTGCCTCCGCCACCTCCGCAGCTGGAATGAGGGTGGCCAAGTATCTTGGCCAAACACCGACCGTTGGGCTGCAATACTCGGCGGCGGCACAAAGGCGCCAAAAGGGCGCGGATGGTGTTGAACCCGGGCGTTTGTTCCTCACCGCCTACCCGGATGCTTCATATGCATCAGAACCAGAGGACATGACAAGAGTGGGAGGCTTCATGTGCTGTGTTGGTGGAGGCCCAACTGCTTGGGAGAGCAAGAAGCAGGTTGACCAAGCTTTGAGCTCGGTGGAGTCCGAGTACATGGCACTCTTCCGTGCCGTACGGGAGATTGTTTGGCAGCGGCGTTTGTTGGCTGAATTGGGGGAAGAGCAGCAAGGACCTACCCCACTGTACTGTGACAGCCAGGGTGCCATTGCTCTTGCTAAGAACCCTGTGTTGCATGGACTCACGAAGCACATGAGGGTGAAGTGGCATTGGACGAGGAGCATGGTAACCGCGGGTGAAGTTGAGTTGCGCTACGTGAAGACCACGGGGCAGCTGGCTGACATGATGACCAAGAGGCTGGTGGAGTAGCAGCATTGGAAGTGTTGCAAGCTGGCTGGGATGGCTCTAAACAGAGAGAGCAACATATCCTAAGGCCAACAATCCGAGGGGGAGTTTGTTGGTGCAACCCTACGGTTTGCACTCGGCTTGTTGTCCGTGTGCGTGCATGTGTGTGTGTATGGAATGGTATGAGGGCATGGGATAATATATATTTCATACTTAAAGCTGTGTGTGAATGTTGAGTCATGATGTCGAGTGTGTGTGTCGACTCAATAGCGAGTTATCACTAGACGCGTGTTACGCGGTCGTTTGTGTCTCACGCGCGGTTTCTATTTTGTCGTGCGCGGTTTCTATTTTGTCCTGTGTCGAACGTTCGGCGTGTCGCAGGTGTGTGCAGCAGACCCATCAAGAACTCAAGGATGAGTTTGTGATGAAGAGCTCGAGCCTTGATGTCAAGCCTCAAGTGATTTCGAAGCTCGCCAAAAGGGTACACCTCAAGATATTGAAGATAGTTACATTACTTTGTGTAGTGTAACATTTCACTTAATGTAGGCCCTAGTGAAGGGTAGTTTCGAGACCCTTCGTAGTTGGGGACCGTGTGGCACTATTCCACATCACTGTACCTCGGCTCTTGGGGTTTGTAGGAGCTGGGAGTCATTCCCAACTCGTAACACTTCCTAACTCTTCCTATCTTGTGTTCTAAGACAATAGTGGCTGCCATAGTGCCGTTCGTTCAAACTGACGTTGTGTCGTCAATTCTTGATGAGATCGTGCGATCTAAATTGCCTATTGTAGGCGATGTTAAGGCGCTCTAGATCCAAGTTAAATCAGGTCCTTTGAAGCTGTGACCAGATCGTTATGAACGTTTGAAAACGTTGTGCAGAAATCCGACTGATCACTCTATCTTTCGTTTTAGGCACATTGAAGCCTACTGTGACTATAACATCCTCCGCCTCCACTGCTGCCACCGACACCTCCACCCCCGCCACCACTCCCACCACCACCACCACCCCCACCTCCTCCACTGCCTCCACTACCACCTCCACCGCCCCCACTAGCCCCTCCAACGCCCTTGCCCCCCTTGCCCTTGCCGGTGTGGCGCTTCCCGCTAGGGGCAGACGCAACGCCGACCGACTCGAAACCAACGAGGTCGCCGCAGCAGCAGAAGCAACAGAGGGCAAGAGGGGGGAGGGAGAACACCCCTCAAAGACGGGGGTGCGAGGGTCACCACGAGAGGCTCCTACAGCGACTATGCTCTTCTCTGCTGCTAGGAGGCGCTCCTCGAGGAGGTCAACGGTGAGTGTTGTGGGGCAAACTGAGAGGAAGTGGTCCCTGACTAAGCGAAGGGAGTCAGGGAGCCGGGTGACTATGTAGTAGAGGGTGATGTACATGGGGGGGGGGGTTCTTGGCACAGAAATCAGCAGGAAGCGCAGCGCGGTAGCGAGTGTCACTAGTGCAAAGGTGCGTAATGAGATCAACGACCGTGGGAAAGGCAGCAAGGTCAGGGAACAGGTACGTCCGCATGAGGCGGCTAAGCGCAGCTGTGGCAGGGGAAGAGTAGCGTGCAACTACAGCGTCGTACAAGGTCTTAGAACTTTTGTACTGGCTAAAGTGCGCACGCTCAGTGGTCGGTAAGTGGCGACGCACAGCAAGATGTGCAGCAGCATCGCGCGTGGCCCACTGTGAGCGAACACTGCTGTCAGCAGTAGCAGGCGGGGCAGGAGAGACACCAGAGGTGAGATCGAACAGGGAGAGTCCGTCTGCCCTATCGCGCTGTAAGAACAGCTAGAGGTCATCGACCCAGACCTCAAAGTCAACAGCACGACCCTCAGTATCAAAGGTAAGGACACTAGGGGTAGCCATGCCTGCAGTGGCCTAGCAGGGAGTGAGCTCACCAGTCCAAAGGAGTAGGGCCGGAGCACGCCGGTAGGAACAGTAGTGGCTCGATGGCAGGGCGGCACGGCGGCTCGGCTGCTGGGTGGCACGGCGGCTCGGCGGCTCGGCGGTTGGGCGGCTCGGCAGCTGGGCAGCTCAGCGGCTCAGCGGCTCGGCTGCTGGGCGGCTCGGCGGCTCGGCTGTCGGGCGCCTCGGTTGCTGGGCGGCTCGGCTGTCGGGCGCCTCGGCTGCTGGGTTGCTGGCGGCGTGGTGGCTCGGCTGCTCAGCTGCTGGGCGGCTCAGTGGTGAAGGGGCCGGTTGAGGCGGCGACGGGGCCGCGAGGAGCGGCGACGGGGCCTCTAGGGGCGGCGACGGGGCCGCTAGGGTCGGCGACGGGGCCGTTAGGGTCGGCGACGTGGCCGCTAAGGGCGGCGACGGGGCCTCCAGGGGCGTCGACGGGGCCGCTAGGGTCGGCGACGGGGTCGCAGAGGGGCCGTAAGGGGCCTAGAGGGAGCGGCGACGGGGCCGCAAGGGGCGGCGACGGGGCCGCGAAGGGGCCGCGAGGGGCCTGGAGGGGCGGCGATGGGACCTAGAGAGGCGGCGACGGGGCCGCGAAGGGGCCGCGAGGGGCCTAGAGGGGCAGCGACGGGGCCGTGAAGGGGCCGCGATGGGCCTAGAGGGGCGGCGACGAGGCCGCTAGAGGCGGCAACCGGGCCGCAAAGGGGCCGCGACAGGCCTAGAGGGGTGGCGACAGGGCGTAGAGCGGCGACGACGGGGTCGCAAGAGGGGCCGTGAGGTGCCGCGAAAGGGGGCCAAGAGGGGCCTGAGGAGGGCGCGACGGGCTGCTAAGGGCTAGGGGCACGACGGTAGGGAGGGCACACGGGGCGCGACTCGGACAGGAGGGAAGCGTGTTCCGGGCAGGAAAAAAAAAATCAGTGGTGGGCCCTAGGAAACGTTCCCACTAGGGAACCTGCTCTATACCATGTGAAAGAACAAGGAATGATTGCATGGAGCAGCATGAGGAGTACAAGTAGGAAACCCTAAAGTGTTGTACCCCATATGAGCTACCCCACTACAGCCTACACAGACTATAGCATATAAGTTTGACAGTATTATTCGCCTAACCGTCGCCATCGGATCGGCCGCGTGTTTCTTGGCCGACTTCCTTGCTCCACGACGCTTTTTCGCCTTTGTGTCGACCACGGCCTTGTTACAGATGGGTGTGCCTGGAGGGTAAGCGTGAGGGGGGGAAGGGCATTCGATGTCTGAATTGGTCACCAAGTCGACATCCGCGGCGACCCAATCTTCCCCCTCAGACACGCTACCGTCAGATTCAGAGTTCCCACCAGGTGCAGATTTGTCGTCCGTGTCAGCATCTGTGCACGGCGAACACACTGGCACTGTGTACAGCTCATCGTTGAACTGGTACCACGACTCCGGATTTCGATCCTCACTGCTCGCCCATCCAACCTCTGTGTTCCCGCTCTTGGCTGGATCGGTTAGAATATTTTTATCCTCTGCGCATTCCACGTCCCCCACGTCAATATCTGGCAAACAAACGCGTTACATCGATACAGCGCATGTCAGCCGTTGGCGGGCTCATGACGCTAACACAAATGCAACGAATTCAGCGACGTGGGATCTCACTTTTTTTCGCTGCGTTCTGCGCTACGACCTCCTGCTCCCCCACCTGGGTCTGCTTGGCGCGGCTACGACGATGCGCGGTTTGCTCCGCACGGACGGAGTGATACGGTATACCGTAAGGGTATTGTACAGAAGCGTCTCGGTCGACCGCCACTGTTGCGTCCAGTCGTCTACTGTCATGTGGCGCCAAGTGTCCAGTCTTCGCCGGGTAATTCTCCCGGTATTCTAGTACGAGGGCTCTAACCTCCACGCCCTCCGCGGCCCACTTAGGGTCTATGGGCCTGGCTCTAGCCGTCGGAACAACAAATTCCTTAAGATGGTCGGGTACCCTCTTATATCGTAATGGTCGACTGTGCGGGGTAGACATCCTTGGGGATACTTAAGCATATGTATGCATATTATATCCTAGCAAGATGTTCGGCGAGTGATGATGGATAGCAATCGAGTTGATTTTGAGACACAAGAAGTTGAACAAAACTTCGAGCAAATGATAATGAAGGGAGGGGATCGTAACCAGTTGTTTAACCAGCCGTAGATTATAGTGCTGTCTAACCACGGTCAACCGTGGATGGGACAGACCCGGCATCGGTTATGTGGTTGGGAAAACTCCTCCCTGTGTAACACTTTGACGAGTCGCAAGGCGGCGCAACATCCAAGCCGATGACAGATGCTGTCTTGGAGACCAACCGTCCATTCTATGCGTACGAGAGTAACCCGTACCGTTACCAGGTCTCCAAACCGCAAAATCCAAGTTCAGGCGGACGAACCTTAGCCTCGTGACCAAAGCCGTGGCATCGCTTTCAAGTGTTTGGACCTACCTTTACGGGTAGGTCCGATAGATGATAGGTGCAATTTTACACGTGTACTTTCACAACCTAGCTAGCAAGTTGATTGCCAGGCATTGTTAGACCCTCGATTGAACACGATATTGGTGTCACCGTTTAGGCCAACAAGGGCTCTTCACGACCAACAAACCTATCTGTAGAAACAGACCAACCATTTTTGCTGTAGGCTTTATCAAGTCCCGCTACCCTCTGGATGCATTAGGGTTAAGCTGATTACTCGCGACACTGGGAACATGGCGTCCGATCACGAAGAGCGGCAGGAAGAGCTCGAACGAGGCGGCTCTTCAAGGTCGGTCAGCAGGTAGGTGAGCCAGCGAAGCTCCTGTGCAGCCATGGCCCCAGCGTAGATCTCAGCCTCACAACTGGAGCCGAGAACAGAAGACGAGCGAGTAGCCCGCCACGAGACAGAGCCAGAACCAAGGCTGAAGGTGTAACCCTGTGACGACCGCTGTGTAGCCTGGTCGTCAGCCCAGGAAGCGTCTGCGTGCCAAGTGAGGACCACTGGACTGCGCCCTCCAAGCACTAGCCCCAGTCAAACCCGCAGGCCCAGCATCTCCCGTACTCCCAGCAGGAGCACCTCCGGGACCCGCAGCACCAGCACCCTCAGCCGTCGAAGAACCTCCAGCTCTAGCAGCACGCCTCCAGCGCCGGGCAAACCACTCGCGCAGCTCCGGGGGAGAGAATGGCTCCCGGCGAGACGAAGTCCCCTGAGGAGCTCCAGGCGTAGCACCTCCAGGCTCAGCACCCGTAGTCGCAGCACCCCTAGGCTCAGCACCTCCAGGCTCAGTACCCCCAGCCACAGCACCCCCACGCTCAGCACCCCCAGGCTCAGCACCCCCAGTCGCAGCACCCCCAGGCTCAGCACCCCCAGTCTCAGTACCCCCAGGCTCAGCACCCCCAGGCTCAGAACCCCCAGTCCCAGCACCCCCAGGCTCAGCACCCTCAGCAGCACCAGAGTCACCAGTAACCTTGACAGGCTCGACTGCGTCTACCTGGGACACACCTGAAGGGGCAGGACCCTAAGGGGGGAGGGGGTCTACCGGGGGTGGACCTGGGACAAGGAAGAGCGGGGGCGGGGGGAGAGACGGAGTGCGGTAGGGGAAGAGGCAGTAGTAGGGGACCGACTCGTCAAACGTGACGTCCTGGGAGGACAGAACACGGCGAGAAGTAGGGTGGTAGAACTGCCACCCAGGCGTGTCAGGGGGGAACGCGAGGAAGACGCAAGGAGCAGCACGAGGGGATAGCTTGTCCGCAGACAAGTCGCGGACAAACGCCCGAGATCCCTAGACCCGGAACGCCGATGCATCGCCAACCTTCCCCGTCCACAGCAAGGCTGGGGAGGTCTCCGGCCTGGAGACATGGGGTGAAGGTTGAGCTGATGCGCCACGTACCTGACCGCAAACGGCCACAGAAAATGGGGGGCAGCCGCATGCATCATGGACGTACGAGCGACGTCCATGACCATGCCAATGCGGCGCTCAGCAATCCCATTTTGCTGGGGTGAGTCCGGGAGCGTGAAGGTCTGACGGATGCCTCGTGCACGACAGTAGGCTCGCAGAAGGCCAGAGGAAAACTCTCCGCCTCTGTCCGAGTGCAGACGCAGAACAGGAAAGTCCGAGCCAAAGCTATGCCTGAGCTGGAGACGAGCTGCGCGGATCCAGTCGATCAGCACCTCAGTGACATCACCCTTGCTGCGCAAGGGGAAGACTGTGGTGTAACGCGAGTAGTCGTCAACAACGAGCAGGAAGTAGCGCTCGTGACCCTGTCCACGGACGCGGGCTGGGCCCCACACGTCCATGTGAAGCGTCTACAACGGGGCCTCTGTCGGAGGAAACTGGGAGGAGTGAGGGGCAGCACGCTGGCGCCGCTGGACGCAGGGGACACAGGCACGGCCAGGGCCCTGAGGAAGGGGAGGGAGGTACAGGGGCAGACCAGACACAAGAAGACGGGAGGCCATGCCTCTGAGCCGAAGCAGAGAGGGGTGACCAAGACGGTGGTGCCAGAGAAGAGTCTCGTGAGACAGGAGACGACACGAACAGGGGGCAGACTCAGGACCAGACCTGGACGCTGCAGCAAACACCTGACCCGACGCAGCTACTCTACCAGACTCAGCAACGGGAGGAGACGCAGTGGTCAGTGTGTACAGGCTCGACCTCGGCTGACGGGTAAACGTAGCCAGGTGTCCGCCTGTGCTAGCGTCGCTGCAGTGCATCACCCGCTGGCGCGCAGGAGTGAACTGGTGGACACCCGCATCCTGTAGGTCAGCACCACTCACCAGGTTTGTGGAGAACGAGGGGAGGTAGAGACCAGACAGGGTGCCAGAGGGAGCCGCCGGATACGGGAGGACTGTAGAGAAGCGAGACAGGACAGGACCCCCAGAGAGGTTAGCCAGAGACACCGCAACCGGCCGATTAAGCGGCGTGAGTGTGGTGCGGTCCCGAAAGAAGGAGCGAGAAGCCCCAGAGTCAAGGGTGAAGGTGAGGGAGGCCGAAGCCGACGTAGTACCTGAGAGCGCAGACTCACCAGTACCTGAGGGCGCAGACGCACTGGCACCTAGAGCAGCAGCCTCACCGGCACCTAGAGCAGCAGTACCAATGCCCGGGTCGGGCGGGAAACACCGGTAACAGTCACCCTCATCACTAATAGTCACAGCATACATTGCAGCAAGGATAGCATCAAAGTCAAGATCAAAGATCGCTACTCCTGCCCTAGACAGCTCTCCCCAGCGGGGGATCTCACTGGCCTCCGGGAACTGGTGACGCCAAGCGTCCGTCAGGCGGCCAAAGCAGCGCTTGGCGGTGTGGGCACCCCCACACTGCTCACCCGCGCGGTCGCCGGTGCAAAGGACGTAGGTGCAGGGACCAAAGATCCCACCACGCTGACGCTGCGTGTACCACTCACGGAGCTGCTGAGGGGACAGGCCCTCACGGCCTCGCTGCTGCTGCTGGCGCGTGGCACCACCGGAGCCACTACTCCACGAAGACCCGCGACCAGCTCCACCGCCACCCCCGCCGCCTCCGCCGCCTCCGCTACTGTTGCCGCCTCCGCCACCGCCTCCACCGCCGCCACCTCTGCCACCGCCGCTCCCACCTCCGCCACCGCCGCCACCTCCGCCTCCACTGCCGCCACCGACACCTCCACCCCCACCTCCACTCCCACCGCCACCCCCACTCCCTCCGCTGCCTCCACCTCCACCCCCACCGCCCCCGCTCGCTCCTCCAGCGCCCTTGCCCCCCTTGCCCTTGCCAGGGCGGCGTCTCCCGCTAGGGGCAGACGCCGCACCGACCGACTCAAGACCAAGGAGGTCGGCCGCAGCAGCAGAGGCAACAGAGGGCAGAAGGGGGGAGGGGGAACACCCCTCAAAGATGGGGGTGCGCGGGTCACCAAGAGAGGCCCCTACAGCGACTATGCCCTTCTCGGCCGCTAGGAGGGACTTCTCGAGGAGGTCGACAGTGAGAGTGGTGGGACAGACTGAGAGGAAGTGGTCCCTGACTACGCGAAGGGTGTCAGGGAGACGAGTGACTATGTAGTAGAGGGTGATGTACATGGGGGGGGGGTTCTTGGCGCAGAAGTCAGCAGGGAGTGCAGCGCGGTAGCGAGTGTCACTAGTGCGGAGGTGCTCTGTGGGAAAGGCAGCAAGGTCAGGGAAGAGGTACGGTAGCATGAGACGGCTCAGTGCAGCAGTGGCAGGGGAGGAGTAGCGCGCAACTACAGCGTCGTACAAGGTCTGAGCACTCTTGTACTGACTAAAGTGCGCACGCTCAGAGGTAGGGAGGTGGCGACGCACAGCAAGATGTGCAGCAGCGTCGCGCATGGCCCACTGGGAGCGAACAGTGGCGTCAGCATCAGCAGCAGGGGCAGGGGGCAGTGCCAGAGGTGAGGTCAAAGAGAGAGAGACTGTCTGCCCTATCGCACTGTAAGAACAGCTGTAGGTCATCTATCCAGACCTCAAAGTCAATGGCCCTACCCTCAGCGTCAAAGGCGAGGACACTAGGAGTAGCCATGACCCTAGACGACCAGTAGTGCAAACAGTAGGGTGGGGGGCAGTGCAGTGACAAAGGGAGATGTGCTCACCGGACTGTGCAGGTCGGGCAGCTCGGAAGAAGGGCGGTTCGAACGCTCGGCGGCTCGGCTGCTGGGCTGCTCGGCGGCTCGGCTGCTCTGCGGCTCGGCTGCTGGGCTGCTCGGCGGTTCGGTGGGGGGGGCGGCTCGGCAATGCAGCAGGCGACGGGCCGGGGCACCTGCGCGGGGCCGGGACGGGCGGCGCACATGCGGCGTGGGGCCGGGACGGCGGCGCGCTGCCGGAGCGGGCGGCGCACGGGCGGCGTGGGGCCGGGACGGGCGGCGCACGGGTGGAGTGGGGGGCCGGGACGACGGCGCGGGGCCGGGACGGGCAACGCACGGGCGGCGTGGGGCCGGGACGGGTGGCCCACGGGCGTCGACGGGCCGGGGCAGCGGCGCGCGGCCAGGACGGGCAGCGCACAGGCGGCGTGGGGCCGGGGCGGGCGGCTCACGGGCGGCGTGGGGCTGGGACGGGCGGCGCACTGGCGTCGACGGGCTGGAGCAGCGGCGCGCGGTCGGGACGGGCGGCGCGCGGGCCTCTACGGGCTGGGACGGGCGGCGCACGGGCGGCTAAGGGCCGGGACGGGCGGCGCGCGGGCGTCTAAGGGCCGGGACGGGCGGCGCACGGGCGGCTAAGGGCCGGGACGGGCGGCGCGCGGGCGGCTAGGGGCCGGGACGGGCGGCACACGGGTGGCTAAGGGCCGGGACGGGCGGCGCGCGGGCGGCTAAGGGCCGGGACGGGCGGCGCGCGGGCGTCTAAGGGCCGGGACGGGCGGCGCACGGGCGTCTAAGGGCCGGGACGGGCGGCGTGCGGGCGTCAAGGGCCGGGACGGGCGGCGCACAGGCGGCTAAGGGCCGGGACGGGCGGCGCGCGGGCGTTTAAGGGCCGGGACGGGCGGCGCATGGGCGTCTAAGGGCCGGGACGGGCGGCGCGTGGGCGTCTAAGGGCCGGGACGGGCGGCTAAAGGGGCCACTAGGGGCCGAGAGAGAGGGGAGCGCGACTCGGGCAAGGGCAGAGTGCGCTCCGGGCAGAAAAAAAAGGACGGTGGGCCCTAGGAACAGTTCCCACGAGGGAACCTGCTCGATACCATGTGAAAACTAGAACGAGAATGAATGAACTATGAAAGAAGTGAGTAAAATAGGAAACCCTAATTGGGTTGTACCCCCTATGGGATACCCCACTATAGCCTACACAACTGCATAAGCTATAAAGTTCTGACACATGGCCCGTCTTTTAACTACATGATGCCATTCCCCCTTGGGAGCAGCTGGTTATCCATGACACTGGAACATGCCCACTCTCTACTAGACCAAGAGTGGGTAGGGGGCGATGTTATCGAATGGTTTGGCGCGTGAGTATCTTCCATACGCTCGCTTCGTAGTACCCACGTTATGGTTCTCCTAGGCTGATACGAATCTATCACAAACACACCTTGGACTCCTGTGTGGCAGCATGTTGCAGTATCAGCACGGCATGGACGACAAGACGTGATGTTACATATCGACTATATTCTACCCCACCATTTCGGCACCAAAGTGCAAATGGCCGTGCGGGAACATCGTCCATGGGGAGAACCTGCTCGAATGGAAGTCGGTTCTCATCCCGATTCACTTTGAGTACGTTGCCAGAACGTTTTATAGTCGCTACCCATTCCTTTCATAATGCCAAAATCCCCGTACCCCCCACCCGCAACCCCCCTCCCCCCTTACGCACGTCCGTGCGTCGCCGTTTTATAACACCGGGTTTACTCCGTTTCGCTGCAGCGATCACAGGAGCCTGCTGATTTTAGACAGCGATAACGCACCTAAGGAAGGTGCCCTTCCCAAGCTAACCAGATTTGTACATGCCGACTCCAAGAAAATGCACAAGGGGTTTGAACGTCATGTGGCCAGGTAAGTCAAATGGATCATATGGGTGCATGCAGATTTGTATCACCCAATATATGGGTAAACTACAAGCTCCTGTGTGGCGCTATCGTCGCGGATTCTTATGGAAGCAAGTCCCCTCACTCTACCCCCGACGCGGACGAATCACACATCGACGATTGGATAGCAGAAGTGGAGTACGTTAAGCCCAAGGTACCACAGGCCTTTTGGCTACGTGATCATGTCTAATCACCGATGTATAGCGTCACCGTTCCTCCCACCCTCATACGCATCCTCCTTTTCACGCATTGCAGGTGACTCTTCAACGCAACTATCACGACTGTGGTGTGTACGTCATGAAATATATGCAGGCCTTAGTCGAGCCGAATTTTGAGTGCGTTGAGGAAATCAAACAGTTTGGCAAATCGGCAGACTGGCGGAAGGAGATTTTCCAGGACTTGTTTGACTGGAGTGCCTTCTATGAGGATCACCTACGGCGTAAGGGTAAAGTAGTGATCCGTTGAATGAGGAGCAGTGTTGTAGTGTTGATGTATTTATGAATCGTGTGTTGTGCTGACACGATATGAAATAAGTATAGGGTTTAGCTTGTCAGTTTTATAATTAACTCTTTAGTTTGGTGCAAGTGGCTTTTTCTTGACATGTATCACTCAGATACAACCTGCTTACTACATGGTGAAACCATATCCTTCTTTCTTTATGCAACATTATCGAAACAATGAGAAACGGGAATAATGGCCCAGATTGTCTAGCAATTAGTCGAAACCCTAGCTCATGCACACCCTCCGCCACCCTTCTGTTGGAACGCCTGACATCCAGTCCGCCAATGGCGGAGCGTGTTAGGTCACAAGCTACGTACGCCCTACACAACCCAGGACGCATTGGGCGACGTCGCGGACCAATAGAGATTGTTTCGGACTCCCAGTATCCTGATGCGCGCGACGCCGTGGACTTGCCGCCCTCGTGCATCCGATATGCTCCGCCGGCTCGTGAGGCATCGCCCGAAAAGAGCCACGAGAGTCTGATGATGGAAGGCCAGGAACAAGAGGAAAGCGGCAAAGATATGCCCCCGGTAGATCCTAGACCCGATGCACAACATCACGCTGACGCGGAAGGCGATGAGACTCAAGAGGACTCTCCTAATGCATGGAACAACGTACTGAATACCGATCATGATGATCATGCGCCAACTGGCAACAACGATCGTGTCACTGCAAACAATCATGCCAGGGCGATCCATCCCGAGAGGACAGGTCAACCACTCCCTACCGTCGCCCGTGACCCGCATAACCCAGTCTCAAGGCCTTACCTGGTACCCTCTGACCATGCGCCACCGGCACATCCGGCTCGTGGGTGTTTCAACATTATGCTATGACCATATATATGGCGGTCTCTAATGTCACTGCAATCCCTGTTGTGCAGAGAACGCACCGCCACCTGCGCCGTCATTTGATGAGGAGGATACCACGGCGCCTGTTAACATAACATCTCCGACCCCTGGCAGCCACATCTTCAGTGAGTGAAAACGAGCCCGGTACGCAGATGTCTACAATGAAATCATTTTCTCTGTGTATGGTCTGAGTGTCCAGCGTAACCTGTCGTAGGTGACAATGACGGACCCAGCACTACACACGCTATTCGACATATGCGTGTGCGTCGCACGGATCGCACGGATACAATGCAGCGCACACGTCGCTTGACTGGTAACTCTCCCTGAACGTTTCACCCTTATTCGTTCGTACCTTCTTTCTTGCCCTCACCGTTGACGTAGGAAACTAACCCACCTAACCCTACATCATCGCCAAGGTGACCACCGCCAGCAGGATCTTCAGCCACCACGCCAAGTGGCTGGTCCTTACAACCAGGGACCCAGGGATGGTAGGACATTGTCGTATGCACATGGCCCGTAATAGGTCCACCATCTGGGTTCTCACAGTCATTTCTGTTGATATACAGGTGTTGATGGGCCAGAAGATTTCTCCATGTTCGGACAGTGGCTAGACATATCTCAGGTGCTGCTGTCTTATCACATCGTGAAGCGTCGGCTCCAGTATCTTGATTAACAGCAGGGTCATCATTGTTTTGCCAGCATGATGTTGATGTGTCGCGAACCTTGCTTGAGTTTAGGACAGGTTCTGGTTTGCAACTTAGGGGCCTGTTTTACATGTGCTTGTTGGATCAGAATCCCGTTATGCTAATTTAACATCTTCTGCCAGCTTCCCTGCAACGGTGTACTACACACTAAAGCGAGCCAAATCTGCACATTTCTTTCTATAGTCCCACTTCAACCGAATTGTATAGCTATATCACCTCAGCAACGGTTTGGGTTATAGCGAAATACTGTACAGCGAGTTGGATCCCGCGCGGGTCAGGAAGATCCTTTTGCGTTCAGATTAGCTCTAATCCGCGTCGTACCTACCGCTGTGTGTTAGAATCCAGATATGCCTTGGCTAGATTCCAGCGTGTTAGAATCCCCACACCATTCTGAAACGTGCCACCGTACGCTGCATGATCCGACATGCCGCGCGAGTAATGCGAATGGTGCGGACGCACCTTCCGAAACAACCAGCGCATATGCCAGCATCAGAATGCATCTCGCCATTGTTTGCGAGAGCCGGCAGCTAGGCGATCGAGAGGGTTTGTTCACGGGCACTACTGGCACGGTCCGCTATAGCGAATGACGGTGGACGCTCCTCCACCGTGTGTGGAAACCCCTGGTGGTGTCGCCTCCTCATCTGGTCATAGCTCAGGCTGCGAGTCCCTAAGATCTGATGTTGCTGACGTAAATGCAGAGTCGGTGCCAGATGCGCCCTCTGTCGCAAGCTCCGACGAGTCGACCAGCAAGCTCGATGTCGAGATCGAACTTGCTAACATTATGCGTAAGTTCTTTCTCCCTAACACTGCCATTACTGAAATCATTCACCTGTTTAAGAGCAAGAAATGGGCTGTGTCTGATCTGAAGTTCTGGGACACTTACCGAGATCTGGAGGAGTTTGAGAAGGAGTTCGTGCCCGGGGATGAAGCGTGGGAGGCGGTCGATCTGGAGTTGGAGGGTGATTTCGGGACCGTTACGTTCCGCTACCGGACCGTTATCCAGGTATGGGGTTGCCAATCCTTTGTGACGTATGGTACGTATGTGATCCATCCTTTTAAAGTGGCACGGTACGTTCTACTTACCGTATGCAGGTACTCATGAAGATTTGGGCTAAAATGTCTAGGGTCGAGGGCTTTGCTATGCATCCTGTTACCACAAAGGATGGCGAAGTGCGGCGGTACACCAGCCTAGTGGCTATAGACTGGTTCCACCTTGCAACGGTAAGTCTCACGTATGCTCCTATGGGTGTCCTCGTTCCAATCTCCCTCTTCGAGGTATGCATCGCCCGGTTATGACGTTGTCTGATGGTGTATTGTGCGGCAGGGATCCTGCTTTTTAGCGACTCCATGCACCTGACGTTCAATGGACGCCAGTTTGCGCATCCACTGCTAATGTCCCTGATGAACATCCCCGAGGTGTTTCGGTGGTTGGTGGGGGGTTCCGAGATAATCGCGTTGTAACCAAACCTGGCATCGGATATGTCAGCAGAACAGAAGACCGCCGTGATGCAGAAGATGTTATGCATCGTGCTTGGCCCGATCATGGATGTTTCAAGGCTCGAGAGGTAAAGGATCATGTACATCTCCATGCGGTTTTTAGTAGCTAAACATTCCTAAACCCTAATAGATGTACTTCAATTTACAGCCGAGGGGTGCAGGTCGTGGATCACGCGGGCAGGCAGTACACCGTGGTACCCACGCTTGCGACGTCGGCTTGTGACCACCCGGAATCGAGCAAGCTTACATGCACCACGGCAGCCTCGTCCAATAAGCCGTGCTACATGTGCACCGTAAGCAGATGGGATTTGACGAAGGTGGCTGTCAAGTTGACGCCACGCACCGTTGCCGACCAGCAACTACTGCACGAGGACATGACCAGGAGCACGGCGGAGGAGCAAGACCAGCTCAAGCAGGCGTGGTCCACCCACTTTGTGGCGGTGAGTTAGAGTGTTTTGCACATGTGGCTGTAAACGTAATCCTTGTGAACCATGCCGCGTCGTCATAGCCGCTAACACATCCCCGAAATGCCAGTGTGCCCTTTGGGATTGGGGTTTTGTCAAAACCACGTGGGGCAACCTGTATCTGGCCATCGGCGTCTGCCTTCTCCACGTGGTGGACGAAGGTCTGTGGGTGCATACGATGCACTGCCTGCTTGGCCTGCTCACGACGACGGAGAAGCGACTCTTGCTTACGTGAGTTAGCTCTAGCTTAATAGGCAGGTCTTGTGCGTTTTACTCTCTTTAAGTGGTGCTCATGTGCCTAGAGGATGTGCATCTTGGCGTATGTGCAGGCACTGCAAGGTCATTGTAGGTGAGACGCCAGGGGGTATCCTTCGACTTCCCAATATCATCACCCACTTTCGGACACTTGCACACTACGCCGCATGCGAGCACCAGGCAATGATGCAGATCGTGCCATTGCTCGTCCACCTGCCAGGCTGTGAGGATGTCGGGGTGGCGATGGTGATGTTCAACGAGTGGTACCAGGCATACTTCAGGGTCGATTTCCATACAG